TGGGCAATCAATAGCTTTGTTATGATTGCATCATTAACCTTTTAGCCAATGATCTGATCATTATTTTTTTAGTTTTGTGAAAGATTCTTAGACAAATTCTTTTTCCTCAATTTAGATCACTTTGGAGGCTACTCATCATGGGCCATTGACAAATAAGCCAACCATGTTTCTAGAGATTGGTGAGTGCTTCTTTTTTCTGCCTTTCAGATTATTTTAGTTGACAGTTTTGATGTTTTCTATACCATAATAAGAGCATTCTGCATGATCCATTAGTTGCTAAAACGAGTATAAAAAATTGCTAGGTTTTTGCTTCTACTGTTATTAGGCTGAGGTTGTCTTAATTTTTTTTTTTTAGTGTTTTCTCTTCTTTGTTGAATCCGTGTTATTTGTCAAGAAGGTGCCATCTTTTTCAGTTTTCCATGTGGAAAAAAGATGGAGCAATGAAAAAGAAGCTTGCCTAGCAGTATAATTTGCTGTCACTGTTGTCCTTTGATGTGAAAATCTCCTGTAACGTGCATTTACTTTTTCCCTAATTCTTGTTCATTGTTTTAACCCTGAACGTATCTCTGAATCCTTTTTATGGTGGCTTCAATGGTTCCAATATACGATCTTCATTGTCCCTAAAAATTTGACCCTACTCACTCTCAAATCATTTTAACATATGGGCTTACGTTATCTCTCGTCCAACATTATGACCCCTGTCCAATCCATTTTAGGTCACAGCTAGAAAATTTTATTTCCTAATTCTGTGGTTTTACTTGACTTCTGGGTCCACACTAGTAAATATCTGTTTTATTCAGCATAATTTCCTGTCCAAATATTATCACTTCTGTTCAATCCTTCTTTTCTTGCCTCGTCTTTCCTTTTGATTAGCTTGTTATCCCTGGTCTTTCACGTGTGCTACGCTCGAGATTCTTTTCTTCATAATTTTTCCTCTTTTCCTATAAACTACATATTTACCTTTGGTTCTTTGCCAGTTTGTGGCTGCCATGCCCTAAGATACATTTTAAAATTTACTGAAGAAGCAATTAGCTAAACTTATTCTTAATGTTTGTTGAACGATGGGTTTTCTCTTTCTGGTGTAGGAAGTACTGAAGACTATTGGAAGAGGCAGGATGCTGCTGAAGTTATTGCTCAGGTCCAGTGGTCTTTTATGCCCTTTCAATTATAGCCCGTGCATTAGTATCTATGATGTGCTTGCATGAATAACTTTTTTTCCTTTCAAAATTTCTTCTATGCAATTTTAAATCTAATTACAAATAAACAATATCATCATTAGATAGACTGCTCTAAAGTGGTAATTTATTTTGTTTATTGAATTTCTCTTGTTTGAATTCTTGCAGTTAGTCTGGGAAGGACTCGGGCTTGGAGGAGGGGCAGATATAGGAAACTGGAACAGGTAGAACCGTTGAGCTAAAAAAAAAAAATTGGTTGCTCGGTACTAATTCTTATGCAGTTCAATGCAAGGTTTGCATGATTTGTTTGTCTTCAATATGAACTTAGTGACTGTTCTCACTGCAATTTTTTGAATCTGGTGCCCATAATTTAATTATGAGGTCTTCCCATCTTGGAAAACGTAATGGGATAGAAGAAATTAGTCTGACTGCGGTCATCTCATTTTCACTTCTGGTTAACTTCAGGATCTTATTCTGTCATCCTGTTAATGGGTGTAACATCAATATATGCTTAATTTGGACTTCTGATTATAATAGCTTTCTCCTTATCGGGAAGTTTCTCTGACTTAAATTTGATTCTCGTCCTGCTGTAGGGAGAATGATAAGAAGAAAATCCTTCTTGGGATGGGTGGTGGACATTATGCACCTCGGCATATGGATGTAGTCATGTAAGTAGTCATTGAGTAAGAGCTACTTTGTGTTTTCTCTAATTTTTTTTCTAAAAAAAATTGAATTTCCTGAGTATGACCACGTATAAAAAACAAAAGGTTAAATTCAAATTGACGAAAATCCAGCTTCTCTAAAACCTCTTAAACCTTTTCGACCTCAACTTCTGCTTTATTTGATTGATGCGTGTCTTCTGGTGACGCAACATCTAGATATCTAATAAAGCCCTATTGATGCTGACAAATTATTTATGATTTCCCACTCTATCAGTTCTTCAGGGTCACGTGGAATATGAATATACTTACTCTGTTCTTGCAATGCTAGGAAAGGCGACGTTTGGGTGGGTCACCTACTTTCTGGATATTCCTTGCCTATGGATGATCCAAGCCAGTCAAAAGCAGGAACAGGTGAGAAAGAGATTGGTGGGACTTGGAGAGCGTCTATAACTGCTGCTTATGAGGCCACGAGAGCTGGTTTTCCTGGCGGTGAAATTATTGCCCATCTTGACCACAAGTAAGCTTCTGCTGGGCCATTGTTTTGTTTTGTATTTTTCCTTTTTGGTTCTATATTTTTCCCACTGCTCTCTCTTGAACTACTTCCTAAAAATATTTGAGAATGTTTTAATGATGTGTGATGATTCGTAACCTATTATAGCAGTTATTTGTTTTTGCAATTATAATAACACTCTGGTCTCTAAGTAGCTATTGGTTATCCTCAACCATCACCTCGCAGGAGTTTCAAGGGCTGGCAGAAGAATGCCATAACAGAATTCCTTACTCGGAAGAATATTAAAATTGGCAAGCCAAATGACTTCTTTTGATTTTGAAGGATGAATGTTCAAGAAACTGAGTTTCTACACAGCGAAGGTGAAAGCAGGCTGAAGATTGTAGCATCCCAGATTTGCAATCATGTTAGATGATTTTATACTGATAAATGAAGTAGGAGATGACTTGGTTTGTCCAGAAATTCAGGGGTTGTTGAAGCCAGCCATTTTTTTTCATCTTCCTCAGTTTATATTTCATAAGAAAAGTGAAGAATGAGTAGATTCTTCTCTACATAGCTGCCACATGTAGCACTCTTTAGGAAAGAAAATCTGCTGTACCTGATTTTACGATATAAACTTGCTATGATATGACTACACATGTATTTTTTGAGGGGTGATATACTCACATATGCCTTTACAATGGCTGGGAGCCCATCTTGTAATTTTTACAGAACCCTGTTAATTTCATATCATGGAGCTATGGAATGAAGGTTATATCTACAGTTGCCAAATACGACCATTGGTGCTGGAAATTACAGATTCTCATATTTGTACAAAACATTCGAAGAAAATGAGCTGCAATGTTGGCCAATGTTAAATGTAGCCTTGATCTACAATAGATGTTGTCCAGAAGGAAAATGCCAAAACATCATATATATATTTCATATTTTTCAGGGCCAACTCTAAGAACATCAGGTTGGAGAACTCACTGCTAAAAGGAAACAAATCATGGTTGGGGCCATATGTATAGTGTGAGCTGGTGGACAATGTCCCCTGAGCTGAAGGGTCAGTGTCCCAATTGAAAAAGGAAAGAAAACAGACTGGTAGCATTACCCACAAATAGAGAGACCCATGAAAAGAAAGATGAAAAGAAAGAACGTAGCTGGATTTCTCAATGGCTTGTGTTTGACCACAATGTATGTTCTTGGCTGTCATCCGAAGAAGCTGTGTCTTCTTGTCTGTTTTTGTCGTCTTTTGTACTTTGTGGTTGTGTGTGTTTGACCACAAAAGTTACAAGGAAGGCGGGGAGTGCTAATGCTCATATCTTGTATATATAAAGATAAATGAAAATTAAATACTGCAAGGATGGAATGTTATGGGCTTGTGTTATTTATTTTATTTTATTTTAACCATTTTTGAGAGGAGGTGTGGGATGCCATTATCGAGAGGCAATATTTTACTTTTTTATTTTCATGTTCTTGAACAATTTTTTAGAGTAGTTTTTTCAGAACAAGTTTTGAAAATTTAAAAAACTAAAAATTTGTTTGAAAAGTATATTTTGTAGAACAAAATTTAACATTTTTATTTTTCAGAATATATGACAGTTTTTTATTTTTTAAAAACAAAACTGATATGAAAAAGAAGAAATGAAACTGATCCCATGTTTGTTCTTCCTTCCGTGTCGTCCAATCAATAGATTTTGTTTCGATTATTTCCGCTTACTATATGAATGAACGGTTCGTTCCTCCCCACTTTATTACTCTGTTTGTATCTCGTTATTGAAAATTTTAAAAACATTATTTGCTTGTTGAAAAAACACCCCTCTTAATCTAATTTTTCAAAGATGAAAATTTTCCAATCAGGAATTCAGGATGGCCCTGTCTGGGGAAAAAATTTTAAAGATCAAAGTGCATAAAAAATTCACTAATCTTTGCATTCAAAATCTCTTCTTCTTCTTTGACCCAACAAAAAAAAAAAGAAAAACTCTGTTCTTCTTCTTCTTCGTCCCGTTTTAGCTTGGAAGAGCGGAATCAGAGAACATGAGTTTGCTTAATGAATTCTGAACTCTTGAATTAATATACGAAGAACAAATTGTTGTCGCAGTTCCCTCCAAATCACTGCGAAACTATTTACAAAATAAAAATGGCTTCTGGAGCATTTAGAATTAGCACCGCCATATCCAGAAGAAGCGGGAAGATTCTGATATGGATCGCATATACAGGCCACCGTCCCTTTCTTCTTCCTTCTCCATCCCTTGAAACTTCATAAACACTCGAATTCCCATAATGGGGTCCTTTTTCATTTATTTTTTGCTTGATTTGTTTTGTAACAAGTGAGTCACAGCCTTCTTCAGTTCTCGTTGCTCTGCTTATGGATCCGAAGGAGGTCGTTGAAGTATAGCGCTTTGGTTTGGCGGGTTTCACCCGACCACCCAGTTCAAGTGTTGAGTCTCCCCCTTTCCCTCTGTGTTTTCCTCACGAATTTTCTCGGAAAAATTCTCAGTGGTTGGTAGGTTGGAAAAATGACGACCGAGAAAAAAACAAAAGAGGATAAATCTAACTTTTTGGCGGAATCCAAAGACGGGTGATATGGGTAGGTAAACAAAACAAGGAGTGAAAAGAGATCCATAGAGGCGCTTATATTAATTTTCGGTATGAAATTAAATCGCTGAAACGGGATGGGGTAGGGGCCACTATTTAATGCTCTAACATGCCCTATTAAATAGGCGATTGTGGAGGTCAGGGGTTGTTTGTTGCTCTCTTTAAAGCTCTTACATTAGGTGCTGGAGACGTGGGATGAACAGCTACTACGGCTGACCATTATTAGGGCTCTATAGTTCCCACTCACAATTGATATTCTCTCTGTTTAAACATACTACGATACGATTCTTTTCTTTTGTTCCTCCTTCCTTTCTTCTTTTCCGATACTTCGTCATACTCTCCGAACAAAAGCAAAGTAGCAAACTCCATCTTTTTCTGGCTTTGGTCTTTGGTAATTCCTTTACCTCTCTGCTTTTGCTTTAATTTCATATCCGTGGAATGTTTCTGGAATACCCTTTCTTTTCCAACTATCTTTATCTGCTCATAGCAATTTAAAATTGTCATTGCTGTTGCAGCATCTTGTTTCTGTCTTTCTTGTCTCTGAGCCCAGTTACCTTGGCTCCTAACTGGTCTCTCCTGAAGTCAGTCTCATCGAGAAGAAAAGGTACTGTATGAAGCATATTATAATCTGCTTCTTTCAGTTTATGCATATAGTTTTCCTCCCTCCCTTTTGTCTTTTCTCTTCCTGTCGTTTTGTTGGCCATAAAGGTTTTGGGATCTGAAATGGATCTTACACTTGTCTATGGTTGCTGATTTCCTTCATGCCATCGGATTGTAGCCTAGCTGGGATTTGCATTATACTTCTCTGGATTTCTGGGCTTCGTTTTTAATTGCCTCTAGGGGGTTAGATCTAAGCAGAGCTAACAAACAAAATAGAATTTTTAGAGTCAAAGTTGTCCAGGTCCTGTGTTTTGAACTGTATTTTGTAGTTTTGTAGGTTTTGCGGTGTGGTTTTGGAGTTTTGCAGTTTAAAACTCCGATGATTTTAAACTTAGCTTTTGTCTTTTTATGTACATTGAAAACTGCACTAGGCGGAAATCTTTTACTTATAATAAAGAAAAGGTACTGGTACTTGCTTTTTGTCCTTTACTCATAGACGCCGATACTGTTTATTTTAATTAGTAATTATCAAAACTTACCGATAGCAATTCTACCAAGTTTATACTCTTGAGGCTCTTAGTAAACACTCATGGCCCTGATTAAGCTCATAGTTATACTTTATAATTGAGGGACATCAGTAGAAATTTCATTCGATGTTTAATAAACAGGGTATAACGTATCAGTGACAGAACAGAGTTAACTTCCTTTTAAAATCCAATTATAAGGTCCCTTATGAATATTAGCTTTTTCTTTTTTAATTACTATTATTTCATTATTTTTCAGGATGAGATTATCCTTGTATAATCGATAGGAACTTTGTTATTGATACTTGGCTTTGAGCATTTTGTCAACAGAGTTTGCTAGTGCTATTGTTTTCATTACATGCATTTAGTCCCGCTGCCATTAGTTGCTTGCTAATTGCTAAACCTGTTCCTATTTACTCTTTTCTGATATTCAGGGTCCTGCAAAATATTGGGCATTATCATAGCAGTGTTTGATTGAAAATATGATTGGTTGAAGCGAGAAAAATTTTTCAATGCGGTAAAGTAAGTCCAGTTGAACCATGAAACTAGGTAATAGACTGTCAACTTCTGATTTCTCTGTTACTGTCTTTAGCTGCCATATGTATCTGCTTATTAATGTAACTGTTCCCCAAAAGTGGCGTCATTAATGATTTTATATCATTAATCCCCACTATCACTATTCACTAATTTGTTTTTCAAACATGGAACCGTGATTTTATATTTCATTAACATGAAAATGTTTGTGCAGAGGGAGAACTGGCCTTTTGCCATCCAAATATTGGTCTTAAACCTGAATCTCAATCTTTTGAATTCAATGACAGTAATCCAGACTCCATCCTGTGCAAATCACTAAGCAAGAAAGTGAACGAAAATGAGAAAAGGATCTGCTTTGATTTAAAGAGTAACGAGGGGAATTCAATTCCAACACAATATGACATGGAGGAGGTGGATGGTTTGATTGCTTCAAAGCTTGGTTGCCCTACAGGCGTTGTTGATTTAGAAAATAATGTTGAAGCAAAGGTCTGGAACTTTGCTTCGCCTGTCTCTCATTCTTCCCAAGATACAGAAGCATCTAATGCAAAAAGCTCCCATGATGTGTGGATCCATGATTCTCGAGAAGAATTAGATTCGTGTGAGAATTCAGAAGATACCTATTCAGATGAATGTGTGACAGAAAGCCAACCTGAATTCATTGTTTGTTGCAAAGAAAGTAATTGCCATTTTATTAAGGATATATGTGTTGATGAAGGAGTCCCTCCCATGGATAAGGTCCGGTACGGGAATAGTGCTGATGAAAAGGATGTTTCTAAATTCTTGCCTTTTGACACTTCAAAAACTGAAGTATCAGAGAAAGACAACGGCGAGATTGGTGTGCCGTTACTAGACGTTCTAGATGTAACGATAATCAAGGAATCTGATAAGTTTCCTCTTAAACATCATCAGTCTGAGAATTTGATTCAGAGAGATGAGAATGCTTCTGAAAATTTTGCTGATCAGAACAAAGAAATGGTTTTACCTGGCGGTCTAATCTCGTTGCAAGAGATAGAACCGGAAGCTAGGCCTTGTGATCCGGGTGATGAAGTTGAACTCAACCATGCGGAGGTATTTTTCATTTTCGCTTGTGTTAGATTTTATTTGGAACTTATATGCTCCTTTCCCAAAGATTGATCGAATATTTTTCGCATGTGTCATGCTTGAAATCATTAGAAAAATGTCAACGTCTTTCACTCAATAGCTTAGTTTTGATCTGTACTTTGTTTACACGTTGAAGTCAAAATTTAAAAGGGCTTTTGTGTTTGACTATGAACTTTGAATATTGTGTAGAAACCAAAATATTTATTTGTATCATTGGTGTATTGAACTAGTAGCTATGAAGGTGTATGTTTAAAAAGAGAGAAAATCTGTTATCTGCTCTATTTCTAAATGCTTACCACTACTCGTCCTTCCAAGGTTATGACTTATTCTCCATATCTGTCTGGGAACAATAAAATCTTCCGGAGAAGCTTTGTTGAGATGTTGAAAATGATTAACCTACTTTTGATGAAGCTTTTCTTGGAACCTAGTTCAAACTGCAAGACAAGATATAAATATCTGGAACTGACCTTTGTTCTTGACATGTAGGTCTGTAGTGAGCCTGAATCACTTTCCAAGCATGAAGAGTCCAAAAACAGAGTTGACGAAACAGTATTGGCAAACCCTTCAGTCAATGAAATGGATAGGCATATCCTTGTCAGGGATAGCAGCTTTGTTCCTGCAGATTCTGTGGCTTTTTGTAGTAAAGAGGAATGCCACCAAGATGGTCGCTGTGAATGTGATGACTTCCAAAATACAGCTAAGCCTGAAGATGGGAGGTCCATTACAAGCCAAGTTTCTCACTGCAATGGCGAGTCAAGTTTCTCAACTGTAGGCGTATCTAGTCATATATGTTACTCGGGACCCGTACCCTTTTCCGGCAGCATTTCGCTTCAATCGGATAGCAACGCAACTAGCACACGTTCCTTTGCCTTTCCCATGTAAGTTGCCATAAAACTTGTTGGTTTAATCAATGCCTCATCGTCAGCAGTAATTCTCTTGAGTAGTTGCTATTGAATTCTTAAAAAAATCTTAATGCATGGACATCTTTTGCCACTTAGTTTCTACTTTTCATGATTTTATTGAAGAGCTTAGTAGAAAATGTTTGAGAACTGCACTAAAGTTTTCACATATTCTGATTGCAGACTGCAAAATGAATGGGATAGCAGCCCAGTCAGAATGGCGAAAGCCGACAGAAGACATCACCGAAGGCATAGGAGTTGGAAGGAGGGCCTTCTTTGCTGTAGATTCTGAACAATTCTCTCTTTTTCCAGGTTTAGGATCATGAGATGTATAATATCATTGAAACTCATGTACATCTCCAAGCTATTTATTGTCCAGAAAGGTTAAAATGGTGAGTTTGTGCTCCTCTCTGCAAGCCAAGCCTTGTTTTCCCCCCTCCTTGCTTGCCCCTGTTTTCCTCCTTATTCTTTAATACATGGTATAATTATTCTTATTTACATTAAAATTCAAGTTGTAGGATGAGTTTACGTTGGTCTATGTTCTGAATGCTCTCACAGTACAAGCGAGCTAGTCAAATCTCTTGAAGTTGCTGTAATAATCTCTAATAAAATATCGCTGAGATAAGTGAATTTATTCTTAGAGTATATCGTTAACGTATGAAATGAGAGGAAGGGTTTTTGTACACGTTTGTTTTTAAAAAAAAAAAAAATTGAAAAAGCAAACATTAACGGTTTAAGATTACAAACAGAGTAACCCCGCGGGGTTAGGTCGACTAGCTGGGGTCGTCCTAGCTTAACCACGGATCTCGGGTTCGAGACGTGGGAACGCAGCACTCTAAGAGGCCAGGGGGTGCCGTCCGTATGGATCCTTGCAAGCCCCCGAATCCGGATTAGTCTGGAGACGTTGTCACGGCTGAAAGACGCCTATTTCCCTGGGATACCGGATGGAGTAATCCAAAAAAAAAAAAAAGATTACAAACAGAGTGGAACCCACGACCTTCTCACTTGAAGTGGAGCATTCATACCGTTAAGTCACAAGTTCTTTGGATTTTTTTTGTACTTTTTGTATGCTTCTGCATTTTTTTGTTATCGAATTCAATCAACTTTTACTCCTTTTACTATATGAAATTTTTTTGACTGTATTGTTTTTTTTTTTTTTGAGAATCTCATGCAAAGAAGTTTTAAATTACTAAATCATATATCAGGTTTGGTTTCAACATTTTAATAGGTTTTGATAGTACTAGACTTACAAATAATGACAGATTTTTGTAGGAACTTTTTACTTCAGATTTAGTAATTTTAAACTTCTTTTAGTGAAATTTTTACTTATTTCTTTCACATGTTTGTTGTCCTTGAATGAAAAAATTCTTGTATTGTGTTTGTTAAGAGTTATTAAAAAAAAACCAGTTGTTAGATTCAATAATGAAAAACTATTTATTTAAAATTTTTATTTGTTTTTTCTGTTTTTCTTTAGTGTTATCTACATATTTGATGATTTATTGGTGGTTTTGGCTAATCATAAAAGCTTGTGTTAGTTTAGTTGAACAATTAATTTGTTATGTTTAACGATTTTGGTGATTTGTAACAGTTAAGAAATACTTTTATTGTAACGTTGGTGTGGTGGACTATAAATTAGTATGTATAATAAGGATATGGGTTCCCACCAAAAAAAAGAGGATATGGGTAAATATTATCTAAGATATTTTTATTTCTTACATATTTTTTTAAAATTATTAATTTAATTAAAAATGATCTGTCCATAATCTAACTATTAAACCTTTTAACCCTTGTCTTAATGTTCAAACCCTTCCTTGCATGGGATATATTACGCTTTAAATAAATACTCCTCCGATCTTTAATATAAGACCCATTTAACTAATTTAATTAGATTAAGGAAGTTAGATAAGTTAGTTAATTATAAGAAAAGTGACACATTTTTCCTAAAATACCATAATCATCTTTCTTAATACTCCATCTCCCTCTTCTATTTGATTATGATTGAGAGAGTATTCATAGGGGTAATTTAGAGAAAATTGATAAATATAAGAAATGAGTCTTATATTTAGGACCAAAACCATCTCAACAATTGAGTCCTATATTAAAAACCAGAGGAGTATAATACAATAGAATAAATATAAAGGAAAATGATTTAAAAAAAAAGAAGTTAGAAATTTGTAAATGTCAAATAAGAAATATCAACAAAAATTTCTTGTCATTTGTAAATTCAATATTGTCAGTACTAAATAAAGTGTTGTTATCAAACCTCCTATTTTGTCATTATCCCTAAATATAAAAGTAATTTAATTATATATAAAATAGCAGTATATTAATTAACCTCCAAATTTCACTACTCCCAAAGCTTGTCCTGTAAAAGTAGAGGACCACAATTTTCTTGTTCCCTATCCCATTACTTAGTTCATCTTCAATAGCAAGTTCAAATGGTTTAATTAACTTTACTCACAGAATGGAGGCCTGCTTGTCCATTCAGGATTCTTTCTGTGTTCTGTGCACAAACAACTGAAGATCAAATATCAAAAACATTAAATTAAACGTCTTAAAACAAATCATTTGAACAAAACAACCAAGTCAATTCCAATGATTTCACAACAAATACTCCTCTTGTCCTATTTACAGGGTAGAGAGAAAATATATCTTTTGGTTATATTTATAGGTTAATGAGAGAAATTTTTTATAAATGTGCAATTTTACCCTTCATTTATTATTGTGTTGACTTTGTTTATAGGGAAAATTTCATTCAAAGACTGCTGAAGGCAATTAACTTCCAAGAGCTCCCAAAACAATCTGAAAAGCCACTGCAGGACCGTGGGGGCAAATTGAAATTAATTTCAAAACCAAAAAGACAGTGTTGCCCCTCAAACTATTACTCTGAAATTTGAAATCTTTTCTCTCTCTCTCAACTCCCGATATCTGAAGCCCCTCTCCCTCACTCTAAAAATTTCAGTTTATGTAGCGAAGGAGATCGCTCCCCTCACCTCGCTACTGTTAAATATTTATTTGTGCAGTATTTGTGATCCATTGCTACTAGTATTCCGTCGGCCAAAATAAACAATGCGATCGTGTGAACAGTCAGTAATATATGTGTTTTATCTTTTTCCCTGTTTGTTTGTTATGCTGCTGCTTGTTGTCACGCACTTGAAGCACTTTGTACTCATGGAGCTTGGAACAATACGGATTTTCTTAGTTAAATAAAAATGATGTTTTTAAAATAATTTATAATCAGTTGTTAATCCGAAAGATCTAAACTTATTCAAAGAAAAATTTCTGATGGAAATGCGTGTTGAATCTGTGCACAATAAGCCGATGCTCTGGATTATAAGCAATTTATTTTGTATAGTGCTATGAATAGATGGAGAATTTCATGATGGTACTTGGAAGTAAACTGCCCTAAGTACTGAACTTAAACTAGCCAGCGACTATATAAATGTATGAACAAATTAATCGACTTGCAAATGGACGTATTTTTATTGTTAACGTATGTATCCTTATTGCAAAGTTCCTAATTCCACTTGTGAACAATCACTTCCAGACCTGTGAATTGATGTGTTTAATTTTTTGAATGAAATAAATCTACTTGCAAAAGGACGTATTTCTATTGTTAACGAGTGTATCCGTGTTGCAGATTTTCTAATTTCACTTGTGAACCCTCACTCTCAAACTTGTGATAAACTTTTTTAATTGAACTAGCTCACTTGCAAATGGATGTGTTATTCTTATTAGTATACATATCCTATTTGCAAATTTTCTAATTTCAGTTGTAAATGATTCCTCCCAGACTTGTGAATAATCATGTTCAACTTCTTGAATTCAACTAGCTCACTTATAAATGGACAAATTCTTGTTGTTAATATACTTATCCTTCTTGCAAATTGTCTGACTTTAGTTGCAAATAGTTCCTCCCAAACATGAATTATCATGTCCAACTTCTAGAATTCAACTAGATCACTTGCAAATAGACGAGTTATTATTGTTAATATGCATATTCGTATTGCAAATTGCCTAATTCCACTTGTGATTAGTGCTCTTCAGACTTGTGAATAATCATATATGACTTTTTTAGTTATATTAGCCTATTTGTAAATGGACGAGTTTCTCTTGTGAATCAATGCATCTTTATTGCAAATTTTCTAATTCTAATTGCTAATATGACAACCAAATACCCATGACATCAAAGTGTTAATCAATGTATCCTTATTGTAAATTTTCTAATTCGAGTTGTCAATAGTACATCACATACTTGCAAGTTAGTGGGGAAAGACAGCAAATTGTAATTAATTGACATGTAACCTACTCATAGTATATTCCCTAAAACAGAAATTGTGCAAATTCTCCATACACAAATTTTAACACATTCTAAAATAGCTTAAATTACATTTGAAATAAAAATATAATAATTGCTATGTCATTGCTTTGTTTTTTGTTGTCTTTATCTATTAAAATAGTTTGTAATAGCAGCTGATTGCGTATTTCTTTTATGATTAATGAGCCACCACAACTCAAACTTTAGTGAAGCGTATTATTCCTGTGATACAACAATAAGTACCGTCAATAGATTGACACCGGTGCGTCAATGAAAACTCAAAATAATGAATGAACTCATGAGCAATAGAAAATGACTATCACACAAGAGATATTGTGACTTGTGCTTCCCAAGCAATTTGCAAGAAGAATAAGTATATTAACAGCAAGAATTTGTCCATTTATAAGTGAGCTAGTTGAATTCAAGAAGTTGAACATGATTATTCACAAGTCTGGGAGGAATCATTTACAACTGAAATTAGAAAATTTGCAAATAGGATATGTATATTAATAAGAATAACACATCCATTTGTAAGTGAGCTAGTTCAATTAAAAAAGTTTATCACAAGTTTGAGAGTGAGGGTTCACAAGTGAAATTAGAAAATTTGCAACACGGATACACTCGTTAACAATAGAAATACGTCCTTTTGCAAGTAGATTTATTTCATTCAAAAAATTAAACACATCAATTCACAGGTCTGGAAGTGATTGTTCACAAGTGGAATTAGGAACTTTGCAATAAGGATACATACGTTAACAATAAAAATACGTCCATTTGTAAGTCGATTAATTTGTTCATACATTTATATAGTCGCTGGCTAGTTTAAGTTCAGTACTTAGGGCAGTTTACCTCCAAGTACCATCATGAAATTCTCCATCTATTCATAGCACTATACAAAATAAATTGCTTATAATCCAGAGCATTGGCTTATTGTGCACAGATTCAACACGCATTTCCATCAGAAATTTTTCTTTGAATAAGTTTAGATCTTTCGGATTAACAATTGATTATAAATTATTTTAAAAATATCATTTTTATTTAACTAAGAAAATACGTATTGTTCCAAGCTCCATGAGTACAAAGTGCTTCAAGTGCGTGACAACAAGCAGCAACATAACAAACAAACAGGGAAAAAGATAAAACACATATATTACTAACTGTTCACACGATCGCATTGTTTATTTTGGCCGACGGAATACTAGTAGCAATGGATCACAAATACTACACAAATAAATATTTAACAATAGCGAGGTGAGGGGAGCGATCTCCTTCGCTACATAAACTGAAATTTTTAGAGTGAGGGAGAGGGGCTTCAGATATCAGGAGTTGAGAGAGAGAGAGAAAAGACTTCAAATTTCAGAGTAATAGTTTAAGGGGCAACATTGTCTTTTTGGTTTTGAAGTTAATTTCAATTTGCCCCCACGGTCCTGCAGTGGCTTTTCAGATTGTTTTGGGGGCTCTTGGAAGTTAATTGCCTTCAGCAGTCCTTGAATGAAATTTTCCCTTGTTTATATAAGGTATAATGTATATTAAATAGAAATAAAATTGAAAAGTTGAATTTTAAATGAGAGTTAATAAAGTTTAAGGTTTTCTTTAGTCTGTATAAAACATGTTGAAAGTGACTTATAAATAGAAGTAGAGGATTATATCTAAAAGCTGAAGGGAAAAATCTGCTGCTACATTGCTGAGACTCAATTAATCAAAGCTTAAACTGAAAAAAATAAAATAAAATAAATAAAAGTTGGAAAGAGGGTGGATTCAATGTGGCCTTCATATATTGAAAAGTTATACAAATGCAAGACATGTGCCTTGCTTTGAAATTCACCAGCCTTCTTTTGAATGATGCACTGGTCGGCATGTATGTCTCTCTGACTTTGACTTGGAACCAAAAACTCATAAGGCCCTATCATCCATTCCATTACAATTCACAGATTCTTCTTCCCACAAACATAAACTTTTGAAAATCAATTCAATGTGGGGGTCCACCAGGGTGGTACTTTCTATGCCTAGTACTATATATATATATATAAACAACTGTTATGGCATGTGAAAAAGGAAATTCAGTTTCGTGTGTCCTTCATGGCTTCCTAGCTACCCTGCTCTAGCCCAGAAAGTTCCATTCTCATAGGTCTTCCTCTGTTTTCAAAAAGTGACAACAGTCAAAAAAAGGAATTAATTTAACTGGTGTTCAATCAGAAACCACTTTTGATTGATATAATCTAAATCCCAGTACAAAGGATCCTTTGTTTAATCTTTATTCATTGATAAGCGTTCAAGAACAAGCCATTTATTTATGTATTTATTTAGAATGGGAGTTGTTGAAAGTGGCATTTACACAGTTACACCTAATTGATTGTTGTCCCTTGAATTGACATCAGATCCTTGAAGCAGGGAGTTAGACATACTCATAACTGACTTCCTCAATAATGGAAGAGATATGAACAATCAGATGATGAATAAAAGTATCAAATTTGATCATTCTTTCACCAAGAAAATGGTTGATGAAGATGTAAGCTTGGTTATATGCAACAGAAAGTCAGAAAGCAAGGGCCCTACAGCAGCATTAGGTGACAAAATCAACCCAAATTGTGTGAAGCCTCCTAAAAAGTGAGCAAATCAATATTATATTTAAGATTTTCGTGAACCTGTTTTGGGACTCTTCATTGTTGTGCTTCGTGTTCTCTCTCTCTCCTCCCCTTTGTTTCTATCTCTCTCTCCATTCATCTCTTTGTCATGACATGGGCTTATATAAGCAAAACCCAACAGCTGAAGGAAACCCATTGCACATGACTTCAGGAAAGTTACTCAGATGGAGCTGGTAATGATCATCACTGTGCTAAGCATTTTCTTCTCTGGTTTGCTTCCCCACTGTTCTGCTTCTCCGCAACTTCCATTAATGAAACCTCCTCTTCAATATCAAGGTACCTAAACTGACTTTATATTCTCCCCCTTTTGTCCTTTCTTTCTTTGTGATTCTTGAAGTGACTTGTTCACTTATATTTTGCATTGTTTTGAGCAGTAAATGGCCACCAACTTTTTCTCCCACCATTCCCAAGGAAGCTTATGAGCACTGAGCAACAGGTATTGCAGAAATCTTCAGCACATAATCAGTGAATCTAATTCTTTAGTCATCTCTTTTAATCATCTGTATATGTCATTCATTCTTGTATTTCCTGGAAAATATAGGTTAAAAAACTTGAAGCTACACTTGATGCATCGAGAAAAGATGACAAGGAAAACTTTCCAGGTAACCCATCAATAAAACTTCTCCTTCATACTATCTCATATCTATCTCTATCATAGTTGGGTCCTGGCCAATTTCCTTTTCTTGAATACTGTAAATGCCATAACAACCCCACATGGCCTCAGCCACGTATTCACCTTTTTTAGCCCCAGAAATTCACACTCTCTGTGGAGTTCATGAACTAGGAGATTAGGCCCAATCTATTAAATAATGATGGATGAATATGTAAATACATCAAACATGTGTCTTACTGAAATATGTCAGAAACCAGGAGATCCTAAGCAGAACTGGTATACATTAATAAATAATGCATTAAAATATATCCCATTAAACAACCACACAAAGCATCCATAGATTGATAGTTTAACTGGTGAATTAATGAAACGATGATCTGTGAAACAACATTTACAGGGAAGGAAGAAGAAAGAGAGCAGAAGACGAAGGTGGTGGGGAAGAAGAAAGGGACAAGGGAAGAATGGGAGGAGGGAGACGATCCTTCACAGTATTTCACAATGGATTATAGCAGAGTGAGAAGACGACGGCCTATACACAACAAGAACATACCTGTAGCTCCGTGAAACATGGGAGCTATACCATTTTACACAACACCCCAGATTTAAATTAACTAGCTTTTTTCATTTTTCTTAATGGACACACAGTTTTGTATTGGCCCCTGAATTCGTGTGTCTTGTAATTAGGTTATATTGTAGTACGAGTAATATATGTGTTGTCGTCCTTATCCCCTTCCTGTGGCCGACACAAGGAGGGACCAAAACCCTAAGTTTAGGTCACTTCATCAACTACCTAACGAATTTTCCTCTTTCATTTTTTTTCTCTACTTTTAATTATATTAATTATTATTTGTATTTCTGTTAGACATGTACGTAGGTTAATGTATAATCTTATCTTCTTCGCAGCATATGATCTTATTAACTTGTGTGTGTGTGTTTTTTTTTCCTCGGAAAAAATCATTCATAAATATTTATAAACAACTAATTCTTTTTTTCCCTTTGAAAGCGTACATACAAGTAGTCGTATCATTTTGTTGTCTTAGTATTACATTAATACCAACATATAAAAAAGTATTACCTTTAGACTATGGTTTTTAATATAATACTTAATTGACTAATTTAAAAATATTAATAAAATTAAATAAATTATTTTAAAGTATTATATTTATTATTTTTTTAAACTAGTTTATCTAACTATAAACTAATATATAATCTAATAATACATACAGATATTTTAGAAAGATCTTGTAATATATGTTATAATTAAGTAATTTTTTAGTTTTCTTAATTTTTTTCAAATTACTACCTCCGGTCCTAAATATAAGAGTTATTTGACTAATTTAAATAGATTAAGAAAATAAGTTAAGTTAGTTTTTTTATAATAAATAGGTGTTGTCTATTCTAAAATACCCTTACTAGTCAAATTTATTGGTTAGAACTACTATTATTAGAATAACTATTTTGGTAAAAAAAAAAAGATAAATATGGAAGACAAAGTAGATTAAGATTTTATATTTACGATCAAAATAAAATCAAATGAGATCTTATATTAAAAGCCGAAGGTAGCAATCAGGTGGCTTGGGGTTATTACATACTTAACACGCACAAACAAATCATAATCAATGCTCAATATTATACTACCTCTGATCCTTAATATAAAACCCTGTTTGATTTTTATTTTAGTCCTAAATATAAGACTTCAATCCACTTTGTTTCTCATATTTATACATTTTTTTTTCAAAGTAACCCTTCCAACAATGATAGTTATAGTCAATACAGTTGATTAGCAATGATATTTTAGGAAAAACAACACCTATTTAGGACAAATAACTAACATAATTCACTTTTTTAATCTCTTCAAATTAATCAACTGACTCTTATAATTAGGAGCGGAGGTATTACTCAATACGAAAAAGAAGACATATTTACATTCATTGCTTAATCTGGGCATGCGCGCGCGTGTTTTTTGGAAGTTTTTTGAGGCCACTGCATAGATTCCATAGTACCACCTCATGGGGATCCCTACTTTCCAATTTGGTCCATCCTAACAACCTATGTACTTTTATCCTCCCGTCAGTTTTTCATAGCCATAAACTACATTTTTTCTTCCCCATGTTCATTATTATATATAATAAAATTTTTACCTTGGCTATTAATACTAACACATATCCTTAATATAAAAGTTAGATAACAAAATATGTGTTGACTTTTTTAGATTGTCCTCTTTAAGTATGCGCATTAAGATTATTCTTTGATAGAAACCTTTATGATGAATAAGGATATTTTAGAAAAAAAAATTATAAATTTGGAAAAGAAAATAGAATGAGGTCTCTTATTTAAGATGAATTCAACTCCTAACTAGCGTTTATATTAAACACTGGATGTAGTACTATCATTTAATATAAAATCTATAAAAACAAGTTTATTAGATGAATATAATTATACAATAAAAACACAAAAGAAAAACACATACATAAATTCGGACTATATAATTAGGAAACCAGAACTATAAATACTGCATTCGATTTTTAGTATAAAATTTAGTTTAATTTTCAATTTGATCCTAAATATATGATCTAAATTCACTTTGTATCTCATATTTATCTTTTTTTTTTAAAAAAAGTCATTGTAGTAGTTACACATATTAAAGATTCCAATAAATAGTAGTTCTAACTAATACACGTGATTATCAAGAATATTCTAGAAAGGACAACACTTATTTATTACAAATAACTAACTTAATAAACTTTCTTAATTTATTTAAATTAATTAACTAATTTTTATATTGAGGACTAGGGGTGGTACCATATAAAAAGAATCTAAAATGAGAAAAATGAAGGGTTAATGACGTTGATGGTATAAGAAATAACGCGTTAATTTTAAACGAACATACTAAGTAGGGAAAATCCCAGAAAAAGCCCTTGGAATATACCAAATCCCAGATTGGGCCCTTAAATTTCGAAAATGACAGAATGGGTCATTGACCCAATCTGTCATTTGTGAAATTCAGGCGAATTGACATTTTTACCCCTGAGCAAAAGTGAGTAGTTATTCTCTAAACAAATCTAGGTAATGCTTATACTGTTCTAGTGATTACAAGATTCGTTGTAGTTAATAATAAGGTACCTGACAATAATAAGATACCTGACTATGAAAAAATGAGTAGTTATTCTTTACACAAATCTAGGTAATGCTTACATTGTTCTAGTGATTACAACATTAGTTGTAGTTAATAACAAGACACCTGACTATGAAAAAATGAATAGTTATTCGCTATACGAATCTAGATAACACCTAAACTCTTATAGTGATTCCTTGAATCATTGTAGTGAATGAATAAATGAGGGCAAAATTGTCAATTCGCCTGAATTTCACAAATGATAGATTGGGTCAATGACCCATTCTGTCATTTTCGAAATTTAAGGGCCCAATCTGGCATTTTCCATATTTCAAGGACCTTTTTTGGGATTTTCCCTACTAAGTAATATCTTAAGGGCTTGTGGGTTCAATTAAAAAAAAAAAACAGAGAGAGAAGAAAGGGCTTGTGGGTTTATAGCGTTTAAGAATGTAACTGGACTGGGATGAGTGTGGGTCGCAGTTTTTGTGATTGTGCGAAACAAAATTTTGGGTCAGCCCAAAATTAACGTCCATTTATTGTCACACGCTCAACGAAAACATTATATTTGAAGACAATTTTCCTCGACACTACAAACAGGAGTTGTTCAATTGATAAGGAGTTAATTTATAATTTATAAAGTTATGAGTTCAAATCTTACTGTCGATATAAGAATTTTATTGATAGGTAATCTGTAAATATATCTGTAAGTGCTTTTTGAATCTAGAAGTATATCTTAGTCTTGGTGATTTCCTGAAACCCAGCTGACATAAACTTTTATATAACCAAAAAAATTTCCTTGACATTATAGTACTGCCTCTGATCTTTAATATAAGAGTTAGTTAACTAATTTAAGTAGATTAAAAAAATTAGTTAAGTTAGTTATCTATAACAAATAGAAATTGTCTTTTTTAAAATATACTTGCTAATCAAGTGTATAAGGGTTGCCTTAAAAAAATAAATAAATATAAAAGACAAAAAGAATTGAGGTCTTATATTTAAAACTAAAATAAAAATTAAACTAATTTTTATATTAAGAACCAGACGTACTATATTTAATGATAGATATTCGTTGAGATATATAAATAACACAGTAAAAAAAGAAGAAGAAGAGGAATATAAACAACACTAGAATATAACATTTTATGATTGTATAACTTAAACTCTCTCTCTTTGTATATATATACATATATTAAATATTGCCACAAATTTATAATGGGATTTTATTCTACGTAAAAAAAATATTTAAAAAATGAAATCTCAGCAAATCCGAATTTTAGTTGTAAGATCCATGCCTCTAATTAATGAATATTTGGATTTGAGATTTTGATTGTGTAATTAAGTATTAACAACCCATTGTATGATTCATATAGGCAAACTCACCAAATAATACCACATCCAGTCTTTAATATAAAAGTTAATTATCTCGTTTGAGTAGATTAAGAAAGTTTATTGAGTTAGTTATTTGCAATAAATAGGTTTTTTTTATAAGATACCCTTACTAATCATGTGTATTAGCTAGAATTATAATTTGATAGAATCTTTAATATGTGCAATTATTACGAGAACTACTTTAAAAAAAGATAAATATGAAATATAAAGTGGACTAAGATCATGTATTTAGTATCAAATTAAAAGTCAAGTTAACTCTTATATTAAAAACAGGAGGTATTACTTGTTATTATTGTTGTTATTTAAATGGATATAAGATAATTATGGTTTTTCATATGAATTGATTGATAATAAGAGAAAAATTATAATTTAAGTGTGGAAAACACTTGAGCATCATGCTGGCTCATCAAGAGAGGGGAAAAATACTAAAAAGTGTCAGTTACCCGAAAAACGAAGGAAATGAGGGAAATTTTTTTTTTTTAATGAGTTAAATTAAAAAAAATAAAAAATGAGATTATAAAATTTTAATCAAATAAAAATGTAAGATAAAATAATAAAAATGATCAAACTTTTTTATGTTGTTTCTTTAATTTTTTGAAGTTGAATTCATTTAAACTTTATTTCCATCTCCCCCCCTCAATTTTTTTTCCCAAACCAGTCGAAGTCTTAGAGTCGTGTCTCGTATAAAGATACAATAGAAAGCTTTTCAAAAACTAAAAAAACAAAATAAAATATAAGAATGTAAAATTTGAACGAGTCAAACCTGTCTCTAAGTGACAATATCAGAATATCATCTGATTAGATTTCGTTGGGAAATGGCCAGTTATTTTCACCCCAACTTCAATTAATTTAGTTGTTTATTTAATATAATCATTTATGATTTCTAAAAATTTTCTTATATTTATGTATGAAAAAATAATTTAAGGTTTATCTTTATATCCTGATAATAAATTATAAAAAATGTTAGACTTCTACGGTAAAAATATTACCAAAAAAAAAGTAATATTCTAATATTAAATTGTAGCAAAGTAATAATGTTATATATTTTAAAAATAAAAATATATAAAGGATATTATTTACTGAAATAATTTGAGTACATTAAAAAATCAAATAAATCATTTAATTATAATAAATGTGACATAATTTTTTAAAGTATTTTATATAATATTAGATTATATATCAGTTTATAAATTAGCTAAACTAGTTTAAGGAAAA